GCTGAAGTCGGACTCTTAACCGACTGCGCCACCCAGGCACCCCTATTTTTTTTTTCTTTTTCAACGTTTATTTATTTTTGGGACAGAGAGAGACAGAGCATGAATGGGGAGGGGCAGAGAGAGAGGGAGACACAGAATCGGAAACAGGCTCCAGGCTCTGAGCCATCAGGCCAGAGCCCGACGCGGGGCTTGAACTCACGGACCGTGAGATCGTGACCTGGCTGAAGTCGGACGCTTAACCGACTGCGCCACCCAGGCGCCCCTCCTAAGGTCTTTAAATGCAAAAAGCTCATCTCCTCGCTCTCTGTCACCAAGTCCCCAGAACGAGCGCCAGCAAACACCTCAGTGCTTTCCTGCAGGGGCAGTAGTGCTCCCGGTGGCTCCTCCCCGGTCTGAGCTGTCCCTGAACTGTGCTCCGAACTGTCCTCCAAGCTGTCCCCGAGCTGTCTCCTGAGCTCTCCACCAAGCTGTCCCTGAGCCATCCCCCGAGCTCTCCCTTGAGCTGTCCCCCAAGCTGCTCCCCTGAGCTGTCCCCTGAGTTCTCCCCCGAGCTCTCCCCCAAGCCATCCCCCGAGCTGTCCCCCAAGCTCTCCCCTGAGCTGTCCCCCGAGCTGTCCCCTGAGCTGTCCCCCAAGCTCTCCCCTGATCTCTCCCCCCAAGCTGTCCCCTGAGCTCTCCCCTAAGCTCTCCCCTGAGCCATCCCCCAAGCTGTCCCCTGAGCTGTCCCCAGGGTCTCCCCCAAGCTGTCCCCTGCCACTGGCCAGAGGGTGGGCTACATGAGCATCCGCAAGGCGATGGCCATGGATTGTCCTCAGTTACGTTGGGTGATGGTAAAGGACCAGCATTGCTGTGGCTGCTGTGACCAGAGAGAAGGGAGGATGACCGGAGCAAACTCTGGAGCAGCCTGTTTCCTTTAGCTTTGTGCTCAGCTTCTGTCATGGGGGCGGGGAGGGGGGGTACGCCAGGTGCTCTGTGGTCGCTGTGATGAGCCCCAAAGTGCTAGGACCTGGTCAGACATTGGTGTCCACCTTCCTCCTCTCACATGTCCTCCTCCTCCTCCTCCCCCTTCCCCTCCCCTCCCCTCCCTTCCCCTCCTCTCCTCATCCCCTTCTCTCCTCATCCTCCTCCCCTCCTCCTCCTCCCCCCTCCCCTCGTCCTCTCCTGCCCCTCCCCTCCTTTTCCCTCCCCTCCTCCTCCTCCCCCTTCCCCTCCCCTCCCCCTCCCTTCCCCTTCTCTCCTCATCCCCTCCTTTCCTCATCCCCCTCTCCTCCTCTCCCCAAGAGTTTTTGGGGTATAAACATTCCCCAGCACTGCACATATGAACTTGACCTTGCTCTGCCTGAACTTGATGGACAGTTTGACCTCGTATGAACTTCTAGGTTCAAAATAATTGCTCCACAGAGCTCGACAGGGATGCTTCTGAGCTCCTTCCAGAATGGGAAGCCCTTCCACGTTTTCTTGTCGGAACGCTTTAAGTCCCCTGTTGGAGCCCTGCAGTTTTATGACGCTGGGTCTGCGTGTCTGGGGTCCATCTGTCCCAGTCGGCCTTCGTACAAGGTCTTTTCCAAGTCTGTAGAGCCAGTGTCTTAGCACTGTCTTCAGAATTTGAGTCCCTTCCAGTCTGCCCCCCCCTTGACCCCTCCTGGGTTGTCATGCCCCTCCCGACCCCTCCTGGGTCGCCATACCTGCCCTTGACCCTATGCTCGCCCTTGTCCCCTCCTGGATCACCTACAGGCTATGGGTCTGGCGTCCGTGGCCTGTAGTGTTTCTTTCTTGTCTTGTTTTTCATGTTTTGCTTTGTGTTCTAGGACAGGGCAAGCAAACTTCAGTAAAAAGGGACTGGTAGTGCATATGTTCGGTTTTGTGGCCCAAGAGGGAAAATCAGGGACACGGAGAGGGAACGGATTCCCACAACATCTTCACGGATGAAGTTCAAAGTACGATGATCGTTGAGTACGGTGTTTTTGTGTCACAGCCCTACTGAGAATGGAATGTTTTGGGGGCTGGTGTGTGTTGTTTAATTGGGGTTCAGCGTTAGCGCCATGGGCACATTGGCCGGACGGTCCACTAGTGGGCTGGTTCCATCCACGCCCTCCCCAGACACCTGCAAGGGGCGTGTGTCTGTCCTTGTCTCTCTGCAGCGTCTGCTAGGTGTTCACTGGCCTGTTTCTTTCTCATCCAGCAGGCAACCGTGGCATGTGTGGGAGCAGGCCACCTGGCAGGTAGGCACTTCCCAGGGCTTCCTGGAGTTGTGCCTGGGTCGGGGGGCCAGCCCACATCTGCTCTCATCAGCCAGGTGGGGACCAGGGCCACGAGGTCCTGCTTCGCGGGGGCGGCTTTGAGGAAGAAGGAGAAATCCGAGGTTAGGCAGCGTGCGGCCGCAAGTTCCTAAGGAGATAAAGGGACAGTCCAGCCAGGACCGGGTCTCCTTACAGCCAGGACCAGGTCTTCTTCCAGCCAGTCTGATCCGGCAGCCTTCCTGTGCTATGGCACCTTCTCCATCCGGGGTGCACGGGTGGTAACTGAGGCACAGAGTGATCGCCTTGGAGCTTTGGTCTTCTCGGAATCGGGAAGTACTGAACTTTGCCACAGTCTAAATGGAATCACAGGAAATGGCCACTTTCATGGGCAAAAGGCTGTTGAAAGTCAGCACGTGGATTGGGTTCATGCTAATAACAAACCTGTTGTAATTGTTGAGTTTGACTGTTGACCAATGAGCATACGTGCTCGCTCTCACCAGATGCTTAGTTGCTAGCCTTCCCTGTCGGCAGGCTGTTCTGGAATGTTCTGTGCAAGGGCCTTCACCGGCAGCTCATGGGCTTCCGCTTTTCCACATGAGCGGCTTTGACCCCGAAGACGTTGACGGGAACTTGCTCAGAGACACGCTCTTCAGGGTCACAGTGGGGGCCCCAGCTCAGGAGCCCAGGGGGCGGGGAGGCTGAGGGCCAGGAGGCACCCCCCAGCGGTGGAGGGGGGAGGCCCATGGGGCTCTGGTTTTGCTTACTCACTCTTGTTCGCGCTGGTGCAGGATTGCAGTCATGCGGTTCGGTTGAGCCGCGGCCCCGGCTGGAAGCATGGGGAGGCTGCCCGTGTGCCCTGCTGGACACGCTGAGGCGGTGAGGGTGTGGCTCCGCTCCTGTCTGTCTGTGCCCGCGGCTGTTCTCAGGCTTTGTGGGCACTTAGATGTGCTGCCCACCTCTCATGCTGTTGACGGAGCAGAACGGCTTCAGTGGGTTTGCAGAAGGAAGCTGTGGTCTCCATCTTCCTGTTTCTCATATGTGTCTTTCGGGGGGAGGGTTGCCATCCGAGCGTGTTTTCATCACGATCAGGAGTGAGTGAGCAGAGGAGGGAGGAGCAAATGGCCAGTGCAGGGAGGAACCAGCGCTCTTCCCAAGTCCCTCCCTAAAGTTCCTCCCCAAAGTCCCTGTTCGGACACACCTGCTGGCCGGTCCGTGTCCCATGGAGAACGAGGTAGGTGTCAGCCCGGTGGGGCTGGAGCCAGCGAGGACGATGGCTTGGGCCTGGGCCGCCCCGGGCCCCCCCACCCCTGCTTCGGGAAGAGGGGAGGAGGGTTCCTGTGGCTTCCGGGTCTGAGAAGTGGTGGCTGGTAGCGGATGGTGAGTGATGAGGAGGGGCCGTCATCATAACTCAAGAGGCAGGAGGCCTCAGGTGTCCTGTGTGCAAGGGACGGTGGTCGGCTGGGACCCAGGATCTGAGCTGGAAAGCGAATCAGGGAAAGGATGAAGAGAAAGCACATGTACATGCATGGCCAGGATCTTGTGGGTGATGTCCGTGGGTGGCCTGCATGTCTGCAGCCATGGGGACCCAGGCCTGCGGGAGGCCTGAGGGCATGGGCTGTGTCCTACTGGCAGGAACTTAGTACTGAAGATGATTTAGAAAGCTTATCTGTTGGGGTGCCCAGCTGGCTCAGACGGAAGGGTGGGCGGCTCTTGCTGTCGGGGTCATTAGTTTGAGCCCCACATTGGGGCTGAAAAATAAAATCTTAAAAAAAAAAAAAAGATGAGCAGTGTTGCAGCACAGGTGCGAGATGAAGGTGCTGTGTGTGTGTGTGTCTGGACGCTCACCGCAGGGGGTTTCCACTCAGCCGCGTGCACCTGGGGCAGATGTGAGTCTATCGGGGAGGAGCCGCTGACGTGCCCAGCTGGACGGAAGTGTAGCCTCGGGGCCTTCTGCCTGACTCCCACTCTGGCTCCAGTGCCTCCTCCAGTGTCGACCACAGCCCCGCATGGCCCCTACCACCGTGCACAGCTGCCCCAGTGCCGGGCACGAACGAGGTACTCATTACACATTTGCTCAGTGCTGAACTTAAGGATGCCATGGCCTTGCACTTGGGGCGGGTTCTGTATCATTAGGTAAAGGATTAAATACAATATGTCCTTGAGAATGCCTGCACCTGCATGGAGGCGTCCCCGGTTCTCAGCGTGTCCCCTCCCTTCTGGGGCTGCTGGGGACTTTGTGCAGAGCACACTGAGCTCCGAGTTGTGCACACGCGGCCAGGTGATATGTGTTGCCTTAAGATTAATGTAGGTTCCCAGTAGAGACCACTGTCCCCTGGTTCTGTCAGAGATACACAGCAGGCATACATTTTTTTATTGTGGATTTAATGCCTGTTCACCTGCTCTGGGCTGACTCTCCTGCCTGACTGCGCCTTCTCGATGTAAGAATTGTGTCATCTACCCATGGGGCCTGCCTGTTGGCCGGTCAGCACAGGCACTGAGTGTTCACCAGCTAGTACTTTCTGCTTCCCCAAGCGCTGAGGTCCTGTGCGGGGTCCCGTGCAGCAGAGGCTGATGGTGTGGGGCTCAGTAGGGGGACGGTGGCCCCTGGGCAGTAGGAGGTGGCTGTCCTGGTTTCCTCTGCCTGCAGGGGCCAGACAGGTGCTGTTTATCGGCCTGCAGAGGGCCTGCCCTGAGAGCGGGCTGCAGGGGGAGGCCCGGGGTCCCTCGCAGCACAGACCGTGTGCGCAGACTAACTCTATGAGCTGTGTCTCAACCTGAAAGTAACACTGCGGGTCACGTGTGATCAGTGCACCTGGTGATCTGGCCTGGGCTTCATGGCGAGAAGCTGACCTTGGCAAACCTCTCCTCTCAGAGGTCAGTTCCTGTTGCTCCCAGGTGCCGCAGCTGGTTATGATCCAGGAGTGTGAGCTCTGTGGGGCTGCCAAGTGGAGGTGGTATGGGGACAGACGTCAGCATCTGTGCAGATTGTAGGTTTCAAGAAGGTTGAGGTTTTTGCTGCCTCAGTTTTTCCGCAGCCCTGGGGCAGTGCACACCTGTCACAGGGCCTGGGAGGTGCTCTGTGTTCAGAAGCCAGTGATCAGGAAGGGCCCTGATGACGAGGGTGCGGGCCAGGGCGGTGGCCACAGTCCAGTGTGGCCCGCCTGGAGTGGGGCTGGTGAGACGTGGTGTTCGCTCTACTAAATTTCCAGGGTCGTTTTCAACTTGAAGTTTACTGTTGGTGTCGGGCCAATTGTGGGTGACTGTTTCCCACCGTTCCCTGTGGGAGTTGCACACAGTGCCCACCTGCTCTGATGCCCCCAGGCTTTCACCCAGAGCACCCCCACTCTCGGCCACTCCCCAAAACTGTGCGGGGCTGGAACCCCCTGTGGTCTGCCCAGACCCCAGGGGCAGGTGGGCTCCTTGGAGATGCTCTGTCTCTTTTCAGTCCGTCATGTGCCTGTGGTGGCCGTGTTCCGGTGACACCAGGCATCTATCTTGTCTCAGCTGAATCACTGGCAGGAGCTGTGCTTGTCCTTACGTAAGACACTTAGTGAGATGGAAGGTTCGAAATATAGATGAGAGTAGAGACAAGTACATGAAGCTCTGCGTGGACATCACCCAGCTTCCATGGTAGCCCTGTGGGCCTCCTTCCTTATTCTACTCACCCCTGGCAAGAGCGCTGAGGCCTTCCATGGAGGGGGCATGGGGAGTGGGAGGAGAGGGGTGCTTCAGGGCAGGGGGGAGATGCTCCAGGGGAGGAGGAGCTGCTCCAGGGCAGGGGGGAGGTGCTCCAGGGTGGGGGATGAGGTGCTCAGGAGAGGAGGAGTTGCTCCCGGGTGTGGGGGAGGTACTCCAGGGCGGGGAGGGGGTGTTCCAGGGCAAGGGGGTGGTGCTCCAGGGGAGGGGGTGTTCCAGGGGAGGGGGGAGGTGCTCCAGGGCGGGGAGGGGGGGTTCCAGGGCAGGGAGCGGGTGCTCCAGGGGAGGGGGAGGTGCTCCA